GAGTAAGGCCTACCCTCTAGGACAGTGATGGCGAACTCATTTTTTTGGTTGATTTTTCTTGGTTAAATGGCATTTAAATATATAAAATAAATATCAAAAATATAAATCTTTGTTTTACTATGGTTGCAAATATCAAAACATTTCTATATGTGACACGGCACCAGAGTTAAGTTAGGGTTTTTCAAAATGCTGACACGCCGAGCTCAAAAGGTTCGCCATCACTGCCCTAGGAGCTCGGCTCTCTGTGCGGAAGTGAACACACATCCTCCTCTGGGGGTGAGGAACACATTTAATCCTGACGACAGCATTGTGTGTGGTGACTGCTGCTGTAGGCAGCATGGAAGAGATGATAGCGATCAGGTGGCCCCTCAGTGTAGCACAGGAGCCCTGAACTACCGTATGTGACTGGTTTCATGAGGCCTCCCTGGGCCGCACCTCAGGAACGCTGGATCCCGCAGAGCCCAGGCGGCGAGAGCCTCTGGCGCTGGCTCCTGGGCTCAGCCCTGGAGGAGACACTGGTCTTCTCATCCGTGTCCCATACACTGGCTCCTCCTTCTCTCTAGGGGAAGCTGCCGACTCGGATCACAGTCCCGCTCTCTGTGATCAGCCAGCCTATGAAGGGCAAGAGTGTGGTCACAGCCCCCATCATCAAAGGCAACCTGGGAGCCAAGTAAGTGCCGTCGGGAGGGAGGGCAGGGCTTCCGGGTGCTGGTTTCCTGGGGCTCACCCTGGGTACCTCTCCTTTCTTGTGCTCGGCGAGGCGTATTGATTAGCTAGTGTTGTTTTAGGTGTGGGGGATATAGCAGTGATTGAGAGAGACAGAAGTCCATGCTGGCTTCAAGTGGGGAGCGAAATAATATGTGGGCGGTAAGGTGTACTGTGAAGAAAAAGCAAGGAAGGGGACAGGCAGTGCGTCATGGGTCGCCACTGACACGGCTCAGACAGCAGTTTCGACTGGCTGCTGGGAAGGCCTTGCGTTTTCTGAGCCCGGTGGTGTGGTCAGTCAGGAGGAGGAGGGCCTGTTGGAACCTGGGCTGCCCGTGGCCCTGACTGAAACGGGACAGGGAGAAGGGGTGTGATGGGATCGTTCTGATGGTCTCAAGGCAGCTGTGTGGGGCAGGGGATTCTTGACACAAGCGCACGCCTCCCCGGGGCCTTGTTCGTTACTCCCGCTGATCAAGGTCTGGATCTCAGGGTCATTTTAGCCAAAGCACTGGGGGCCTGGGGCTCGCTCTTATCTCGTCATGGGAAGCATAGAAGGTGGAACAAACGTGGTCTCATCCGCTGGTTTCCACTTCAGTCCAGAATGCTGGGATTTTCAGGGGCCCCAGGCCCCCTGGCTTCCTTCAGTGCGTGGCCTGATTCTGGCGGGAGCTAACGCCCTGTCCTGCTTTCCGTCCACAGCCTCAGTGGGTTGGGCCGCAACATCATCCTCACCACCATGCCAGCGGGCACCAAGCTCATAGCTGGCAACAAGCCCGTGAGCTTCCTCACTGCCCAGCAGCTGCAGCAGCTCCAGCAGCAGGGCCAGGCCACACAGGTGAGGCCAGGGCGCACTGCGCCACACCGGCTTCTCTCCTTGCCTTTGCTTTCTGTGCCCAACCGGCGAGCCTGTTTGCAAGCTGCTGACCAGATGTTCTCTTTGCGAACAGGTGCGCATCCAGACTGTCCCCGCGTCCCATCTCCAACAGGGAACAGCCTCGAATTCCTCCAAAGCGGTCTCCACTGTTGTTGTGACCACAGCTCCGTCTCCTAAGCAGGCACCCGAACAGCAGTGACTCTGAGAGAAGCTTCCATCAGAACCCAGGCCTTCTCCGCCCTGCAGGCCGAAAGGAAGGGAGCAGGGAGGCCCCTCCTTCCTCTGAGGCCAGTGGTGGGCTGGCGGCAACAGGGCTGCCATCCGCTGCCACACCCCACGAGGAGGACACTGAGGAAGGCTCGCTCCAGGTCTGTTCCGTACCGACCCAGGGAGGCTTCTCTCAGAACCGTGTGAGGTCAGTGTGTCACACAAGCCAGGCTCCCCGAGAGCGGGCTTACGGGGGGAGTGCGGACAGCGACTACGCCGCATTCTGTACGCGGCTCGTCCCTTTCAGCTTGTGGTCTTCTCCGTGACGAGTGGTCTGGATAGTTTTGTCTCCAGAAATTTTTATGTAACTTATTTTTTTTAAAGAGCCTATTGTACGTCTTTGTCAAATAGAAACTTGGGCATTAGCCCCCTAAACGGATTCATTCTTTTGACCAGAATGTGAGAATGGCAGGATTCTAATAAGTTGGTGGCTGACTGGATAACTCCGTGGAGAGGCTCTGAGATGGGAAAGAAACACAAGAAGTGAGAGTGTGTGGGTTCCCTGAAATGGGACTAGTTGGGCACTACCTCTTAAAGAGGGGGTGTCAGGATCCTGGCTGTGGCCTGTTCTTTTGCTGCTGGCTGTCCTCACCAAGCCTGTTCACACTCCCGGGCTGGTGGGCACGGCGGGTGGATGCCAGCAGGGACGTTGCTCTTGCAGCACAGACTGCATTTCAGTTCAGAGACTCTACATTCTGCTTTGCTCCAGAACAAGAGTCAGCAAGCCACCGCCCTTAGGTTGGCTTCCTGTTTTTGTAAATAAAGTTTTATTGGAACACAGCCCATGCCCATTTCATTTGTGTATTATCTATGGCTGCTTTCAGTTCGAGCAGAAGCAGAACTGAATAGATGCCACATGACCCTCAAGTCTAAAATACTTTCGATGTGGTTCTTTAAATAAAACTTTGCTGACTTTTATTCCAAAGTAGAGATGGGTGTCCCTACTGGACAGCACCAACCAAAAGAAGGTCAGTGTCAGTGTACAAGTTATTTAATCCTGGCTGTTTCCTGCTTCTCAGCCCCACCGAGCTGCAGGCAGAGAGCTGGGCATGGTGCTTTAATTAAGGCACTGGTGGGTAAGAGTATATGCTGCTTCTGTGCTGGAGCAGGGCTTGGGTGGGGAAGCTTTTCTGCAGGGGCAGAGCTTCCCTAACTCTTGGAAGGATCCAGATGACTGAAAAGGTATTTTAATCTGTCGAAGTCTAGCGATGACACTGTATGGCATCTGCGTGCGGAAGTGGATCGGAAGGAGTGGGAATGGCCTGCTTCAGAGGGGCTTGCAGGCGGGAGCGGAGGGATCGGGCAAGTTGTTGAGGGGCCGACACCTTTCGATGGCTTGGTGTTGACACAGTGGTTGTACAGACACCTCATTGGATTCCTAAGGAAGTTCTGTGAAAGTTAAGCTGTTTTCACTGGGAGAAAATGCGCGTTTCAGCTGGAGTTAGAACCAAGAAGTAAGTCCAGTCTTCGGATTCTAAGTCAGGTGCCCTTTCTGCTGCCTTCCTAAGAAGGGAGCGGCCGTGATGTGTCATGGTGAGACTTGGGGGCGATCCAGAGCTGAGGGTGGAAGTCTGGATGACAGGGCAGAGGTGAATCGGCCGAGGCGGGATTGAGCTCTTGAGGGGAGTGGAGGGCTGGACAGAAATGGATGGGAAATGGCCGGAGGCAGGGACTGCAGTGAGGAGAAACAACTGTTTCACCCGAGTAAAGGTGGCTGCACCTGCTGTTTCATAATACTTTGGTATTTGCATGTCAGTACTCCCTGGAGTCACATTTCACACGGAAAGTTCATGTGACAGGCTCTAAGTGAGCAACAGGTAGAAATTGGAGGAATCCTGTCTTGGGTATTGACTGCTGGTTAAACTTCCTCTCAATTTGTTTAATAAATGATTTCATAAAAGTCCTGGCCTTCAGCCCCAACCCCACCCCACACTGTTATTGACTGAAGTCACCTGACCGCCCGTCTCCTAGTGGCTGCAGACTTTGACATCCTAGGAGAACAGTGTAGGACTGAGCCCTGGGAAGTGAGATGGGTCCTGGCCAGCCTGTCGGTGGCGTACACAGCGGAAACCCCCTCTTGGAATTGTTCAGGTGACGTCACCAGCATTTGCACCAAACATGGGTCCTGGATGCACACCTGGGGCCATGAGAGATGTGGTGGCTCCGGAGGTGTTTGGGGGGACCATTCCAGAAGGACCTGTGGCGGCCTTGAGTCTTTGAGCCTCTGGTGGACAGGAGTTGGCAAAGTTATTCCGACCGCGTGTCTCAGACTGGATTTGGTGCGTAGCGTTGTGAGGGGTTTGCACTGTAGCCCAGAATGTTCATGTTAGTGGTGACCACTTCTGTGACGGTGTCCCAGCCATGCTGGGAGGAGCATTAGAATAGACTTGGATGTTTCATAGTTGATCCTCACTCTGGAGAAAATACCACCTTTCCCTAAAGCCTGCTGCCTCACCCCCTTTAATTCAAAATGGAGAGCGTTGCTTTGAAAGTAAAACCCAGAGTAGGTTCCTTCTTCCCACCTCCAGTCGCCGAGGAAAGGACATGTTTTACATTCATTGCCAATAACGGGTCCTCTGGTACTTGTTGAAAGGATGTTGGGTTTTACTCAGGCAAACCCCCTGGATGCTGAAAGGGTACCCATGGGCTCGCCTCTCAGTACTAAATCCGAGTTTTCAGGGAGCTCATTCTTCTCCTGAAGCTGTGCCTCCAGCTCTAAGTGCTGGCTGAGCAAGGGAGGTGCTGAGTGCAGAGTTTCTACCAGAGCCGTCCAGTGCTCCACGGGAATGACCCCGGTGCTGACCTCAATGCTCCATGGGAATGACCCCGGTGCTGACCTCAGTGCTCCATGGGAATGACCCTGGGCTGACCTCAGTGCTCCATGGGAATGACCCCGGTGCTGACCTCAGTGCTCCATGGGAATGACCCCGGTGCTGACCTCAGTGCTCCACGGGAATGACCCTGGGCTGACCTCAGTGCTTCAGGTGAATGACGACCTCAATGCTCCACGGGAATGATTGCTGCATTTGTGTGACGTAGCAGAGGAGAAAGTCGAGAGACAGGCTGGCTGGAGTCCTACTGAAATCTGGTTCTACACCTAGTAACCTTAGACCACTCAACTCCGAAGAACGAATGTATTTCCAGTATACCGGTAGGTGGTCGTGAGAAACAAGATATATTTCAGAGTCTGAAAAGTGCCCAACAGTTGAATGGTACTATTTGGTCTCTACGGTAAGAGCTTTCAGATTCGTCCTAACCCACCTTTATCCATTCATGTTCTTTTCTCTCTGCCTGGAATGTGCCTTTTCTATGGCCAAGCTCCTCCCTCCTTTGTGTCATGGTGGTTTCACTTACCATCATGGCATCAGTCACCCCGTATGAACTGCCTGCATAGTTCTCCCATTAGACTGAATTCCTTGCTGGGCACATACTTAGTTAATCTGTACAACCATTCCAGTCCTGGTGCAAAGGAGATGTTTAATAAGCCCTTGTTGAAGGAAGCTTTAAAAAAAAAAAAAAAAAGAACCAGAACCAAGACTAGAGTATCAAGATTGTATTACCAGTTCCAGCTTCAGATCCTTTGCAGGATTCTTGCCCTTTGCTTTCGGCTGTATTTAAAGTCAAGGCCTCCCCTACCTGACATTTTCTCTCCCTCACTGTCCAGCTTTCCTGTCAGTATCCTCATGAGGCACTTTTGAGGAGTCAGACCATCTGAGTTCCAGCTCTCATCTGGGCCACTAACTAGCTTCCTGGTTTTAAAAACAAAATGCACCTTTGGCCCAACTTTGTCACTTACCAGCAGTGGTATTGCAGTACTCTAGTGTCATGATTAGTTAGGAAGTGTTAACAAGTGATGTGTAAACACCAAAACTTGTGGATGACTACTTTTTAAAAATACATGCTAGACTTGAATCTCTAAAAGAAAGGCACTGTGATTCACTCACTTCCTAATAAGAAAGTTCCTTTCTTGGGAGGGAAAGAAGGGATAAGTCATCAACAGCCGTGGGTTTGGCTGGATTCACATCCTGGATTCGTCAATGAGGCTACGTGCTGTTCTGACACTTCAGAGTCTCTGATTTCTCTCCTGAGACGTAAAGGCTTGCTTCGTTTTTCTTTATGAAGGATACGCACCAACACAGTCTTCAGCCGTTAAGTGAGAAGGTGCAAATATAGAGCACCTTCAGGGCAGACCAAGGCAAGCATTAACATGGAGATGAGCCACACCTGTGACACTCAGCTAGTCCTCACGGGGACACGCCACCCCGTTTGTGACCGAGGGCCCCGTCTCATTCCTCGTCGGAGCCATTCAGCAGGGCCTTCTGGTAAGTGGTGTCTGACTTCAGCTCCTGAATGCCAATGATTTCTCCTTCTCTGCGCCTCTTTAACCGGGTCAGAAGGCTGTCATGGAGAAACAGTAACGAATTAAATCAGCCCCCAAACTCCCTTCCCTGAAGAATGTGAGGGTGTCTAATGGTGCTTAAAGCATTTACTTCCTTAAATATTGTGATTACATGTCTGACTTCTCAGTATTTGTCGGTAGATAAAGGAATCGTGATGAATAATATTTGATAGTGAATGTTGTAATTGAGACTGAACTCGGGTGTCCCACCTCCCTTTTTATTATTGCACTGACCCGGCAGTGGAACTGATAGAAACTAGGACCTTGAGTTGTGTTCTGTTTGGTCTGCGTGGAAGTCTTTCTGGGTGAAGTGGTATCTGCTTTGGTAGGGAAATCAGGAGCCAGGGTCAGCTAAGACAACAACTAGTGCCATGTGCCCGCAGTCTCCCTGGCACTGTGGTTAAAGACTGGAGCTCTGCCAGTTGCTCGTTGGGCGACCTTGATCACATTAGTCTTTTGAAGCCTTGGTTTTCCCGTCTGTACAACATTACATATTTCATAAAGTGATGAGGATTAAATCGGGCGGTGCCTGGGACAAAGCACGTGCCTGGGAACTGTTCGATGTCATCTTGGAGGAGCACTTCAGCTGCGTGCTGTCTCATCTGACTGTCGCAAGGCCTCTGGGAAACAGGCGATGGGCTCAAAATGAACAGGGACAGAGCAGGACTGCAGTCCAGTGCCCGGGCCTCATTCCGAGTGTTTTCTGTCGCAGCACAGGTCTGAGCTCAGTCAGATCTGCCTCTGCAGTCTGGGTCTGTCCCAGGTTACTATGACCAGTCAGGCCCTTAACCTTCTCAGAGCCCCATCACCCTCATTCATAGTCTAGAGCAATGGTCGCCAACCTTTTGGACGTCTCAGCCACCGGTTGGCGACTGCTGCTCCAAAGGTTTCCTTAAACCACTGGTCACCAACCTTTCGGACCTCACGGGCCATCGGTGGTCCGAGGACCACTGGTTGGCGGCCACTGGTCTAGAGCACCTAGCACAGGACTCGGCCTTTAGCTGGTACTTGTTAAGTGGTGGGAGTTAGTTGTGAAAGGGGTCCCTGGAAATAAAAATGGTGCAGGGGGTTGGTAAGGAAGGAAAACGCTGACAAGTCTCGGGGACGTACCAGTGAACAAGGGAGTAGTTGACGGCCACGATGCAGAGCGCGGCCAGGTAGTGCCAGCAGAAGCACATGGTGATGAACATGAGGTTCGCGTGATCTCCCTGGTCCCACTGCGGGCCTCCAGAGGGCGGGAACAGCACAAACCCAATCTGGTGGGTCACACAGAGAAGACAGCTAGTCATTAGTTGCCTCCTGCCTGTGGTTACTGAAGGCATTCGGACCGCATTCCCCCTGCCTGCCTTAGCGGGGAAAGACGTTTTGCACAGGAAAATGGCTGGGTTAATTCTGGTTTTAGCAAAGGCTTATTTCCAACCAAATTTCAGGGGAACAGTTTAGCAAGTGGAGCCTTTAGATCAGGGGTCCTCAAACTACGGCCCGTGGGCCACATGTATTTGTTCCTGTTTTGTTTTTTTACTTCAAAATAAGATATGTGCAGTGTGCATAGGAATTTGTTCATAGTTTTTTTTTTTTAAACTATAGTCCGGCCCTCCAATGGTCTGAGGGACAGTGAACTGGCCCCCTGTTTAAAAAGTTTGAGGACCCCTGCTTTAGATGGTATCAGTACCTCCACTGGGGCGGGCAGATGGGGAAATAGTTAATCTGCTCACTGTGTACACTCCATAGACTCTGCTTAACGCATCAGCAGGCTATTCATGGGTAAGGCTCCCCAGGTCCGGGGGCGGCATGTCAGACTTCACCTGGACACGCTCCGTGGGCCCCTCAGTCCCTACAGCGCTAGGAGCAGTGTTTGAACACTTACCTGCCAGAACCAGGTGCCCTGGAGAATAACGAGCGAGGTTCGGAAAAGTTCCAGCACAATGTTGTCCCGAAGGATCACCTCCAAGAAGATGCTGAGAGCCCCTCCGAACACAGCGCACAGCAGCAGGGAGTGGATGAACTGGTCCAGTGGCGGCCGGTTGTGGACGTGGTGGTAGAAGAGGAAACCTGCCCCAGAGCCAGGCACGGCCATGAGAGATGCCCATTTCTCTGTCAGCACCACCCTGCACGCCCACTATAGAATGTCCTCAGCCAGGGTCTTCTGCCCTCGGAATGTCAGTTTATATGACATTATAGGACAAGCAATGGGCAGATGAAATCTGTGTGTGCTGCCCCAGCCGGCGTGGCTCAGTGTTCGAGTGTCAGCCTTTGAACCAGGAGGTCGCGGTTCAGTTCCCAGTCAGGGCACATGCCCGGGTTGCAGGCTCAGTCCCGAGCAGAGGGCATGCAGGAGGCAGCCGATCAATGAGTCTCTCTCATCCCTGATGTTTCAATCCCTCTCCCCCCCCCTCCTCTGAAATCAATAAAACTATATTTTTAAAAAATTGTGTGTGTGTAAAGTGGGTCTAAGCAGCAAAGGCTATATCTCTATTTACAGAATTGATGGTAGGATTCAATACAGGATGGGTAAGTGAAGTATTGCTGATTGGTGACATATTGTGTGTGTTTACTTGAAATTCGGTTTTGCCCTCATTCACCTTTTTAAACTCTTCCTGAGATAACATAAGTCAGTGAGGTTGTTGGGGTACAAGATGCTTTTTTTACGACCCCATTGAACATGAGCTACGTTGGGAGATCTGCCTAGCTCTCCTATTTGTGATGGAGTCCAGACAATGACACTCCGGGTGGGGGCTGGAGTGCAGTTTCCCTTCCCAAACCACAGGGAGTCAATCTGGCGTGGTGACATTCACCCCGTCTTCAGACAGTTCTGTGTTTCCGTGTGGATGTGCGCACATGCACTCACACGCATGAGGGGGTGGGCGGAGTTTGTACACTCCTAGCCAGTGACTTTGGCTAAAAGCCTTGTGCTTTCCCGGGTTCTTTTTTAAAACAAAATTTTTCATTGATTTCAGAGATGAAGGGGAGAGAAGGAGAGAGAATCATTGAACAGCTGTCTCCTGCAAGTCCCCCACTGGGGATCGAGCCCGCAACCCAGGCATGTGCCCTGACCAGTAATTGAACCATGACCTCCTGGTTCATAGGTCGATGCTCAACCACTGAGCCAGTGGCTGGGCCTTTCATGGGTTCTTTAAGGAATATGTCACCTATACCATCCAGAGCATAGGACTAAGCCTGCTCAGGTTGTTGAAGTTTAGAGATTTGGATTTTTTCTGGGGAAGGTGGTTATATTTGTGATAGTTGTGGTGCACTGTGCCCAGATCGCTCATAACCACAACTTGTCAGTTTCTTCCCTTTTCCCATCCTTACCCCTCAGTTACCTTCGTTGAACGCTGCCACAGCCATCACCAGTCTGTCCACCCCCAAGGGCACGTGACTGACGAGATAGGTGAGCATGTCGGTGATTCCTGAGATGGCGAAGAACAGGTACATGGTGCTGTGTTGCCAGTTCATCAGCTTGATCCACTCGTGTTCCGAGTACAGGTGGAGGTGGGGCCCATCCGGAACAAACTGCTCTGCTAGGATCCCTGCAGGGAAATGAGAATGGAAATTAGGCGGGGAGAGTAATTCTAAGATAATCGGAGACAAGCCAAAAATAACCCGAAGCAGGACTGAAGTCAGGATCTGGGTGACACAGCCTGTGGCTTAGTGGCCCTACTTGGCTACTTCAGACTAAAGTGACGTCTTTGCTGAGGAACCTGTGTAGATGTCGTGTCTTAGTTGCTGTTCCTGGGACAGGGGCACGAGGAACCTGTGTAGATGCCACCGTCCACAGGAAACTTGTTTGGGGCATTGCCACCTAAGTGAGAGTGTGGCAGATAACTTAATCTTGGGGGGGCATTGCCACCTAAACGAGACTGGCAGATAACTTAATCTTGGGGCCCCTCTGCCAAGTGAGCAAGGAAAGGAATCCTGGAAGGAAACCATTCGGTTGGAAATAATAGAATCTGAGCAGACAGTGGTGATGGAGATACCTGTGTACGCCCAAGGGAGGGAGGCCGCGCCCGGGGGCGCTTGTAGGACAGAGTGGGCTCTGTGGTCTCGGCTCCTTGCCGTAGCTTTAGGTTTCAGTGTCCTACACGTCAGCTTGGGGTTTCTCCCATACGGTGTCCCAGGAGAGCCAAGCTTTAGAGACGGCCAGGTGGCTACCCTGTGCCTCAGTGCGGGTCTCGGTTCTCATCCCTCCTACTGTCACCTGCTTTGAAGGCGAAAGCTTTGCCTTTATGCCTGGTGCCGTGTTCTTGGGGCTACAGTAACTCCTCCATGGCACGTTCTGGACCCTGCTCCCCAAACACTGTTTCCCCACAAACCAGCCCCTGTCTGAATGTGTGCATAAAGGATCCAGGAGTTGGTGAAGACAACCCAGGAAAGGGAAGTCCTGTCAGAGCTCGAGACTAGCTGTAGTTCCCCACTGTACCCCCTTATCTAGAACGGTGAGTTCCTGGCACGTAGTGAGAACTCAGGAAATAGTTGGTGAATGAGTTATTATTTCCACCCAGACACAGTTCTTTAGCTTTGTTTAGGCCAGTGGTCGGCAAACTGCGGCTCTTTGGCCCCTTGAGTGTGGCTCTTCCACAAAATACCATGTGCGGGTGCACACGTACAGTGCGATTGAAACTTCGTGGCCCATGCGCAGAAGTCGGTATTTTGTGGAAGAGCCACACTCAAGGGGCCAGAGAGCCGCATGTGGCTCACGAGCTGTAGTTTGCCGACCACTGGTTTAGGCCAATACCATGTAAGCCATATGGTCCCTGTTTACTTCTTGGCTTCAGAAAGATGAGAAAGCCTTTCTGATGCCCGAGGGGCTGGTGAATGGGAAAGTCCCACTGGACCAGGAAACAGAGCCATGTTCCTGTGCCAACTCCCAGAGAAGCCACTGGCATGGTTTCAGCTGCGCCCAGGAAGCTGGAGGCCAGAGATGGTGAGAGGCAAATGCAATTGCCGAATCAGGTACCTCATTGGTACCACTCATTCTTCAGGGCCCCCAGCAGAGTGGATAGATGATGAGGAAGTGGGCGGGTTTTGTTGGGAGGGGCACCATAAAGGAAGACCCCTCGCACACAGCCTCTGCGGGCTTCTCTCAGTCTCGTCCGCTGCCTCTTACCAGCCCCAAGCATCACACTCCTCTACCTGCTTGAGGTTTGGGGGTGGAGGATATGCCAATGAGTAGGGGTTTACTCTTGAGATTCTGGAGAAGAGACAGTTGGGGGAAAAAGATTTATCTAAAACTCAACTTCATTTTCTCATAATTCATGAGCTTACTCTCAATTTTTTTTTCTACTTTTGTGTTTTGTCCTTTTCATAAATTATGTCTTCTGTTCCTACAATCTACACCAGTGATGGCAAATCTATGACACGCGAGTCAGAGGTGACACGCGAACTCATTTTTTTGGTTGATTTTTCTTTGTTAAATTGCATTTAATTATATAAAATGAATATCAAAAATATCAATCTTTGTTTTACTATGGTGGCAAATATCAAAAAATTTCTATATGTGACACGGCACCAGAGTTAAGTTAGGGTTTTTCAAAATGCTGACACACCGAGCTCAAAAGGTTCGCCATCACTGATCTACACCCATGTTATTCTAGGGCAAAGGGTGTAATTTATTTGGTACTTTTTCACAGTGCACTGAGATGCGAGGCACTGTTCACTGTTGATATGACAAGGTTCAGTGCACAGCAGATGTTGCGATGAAATGTTTAGTGGCCAACTGACACTATTATCTATCATCTCTGCCCGTGGAGACATCCATCCACAGGGTCCAGAGAGTGGGCTGAAGGCTCTGGGTGTGATGGGAGATCCCCTGGACCACGCGGCCCCCATCCTTACCAATGACTGGAAATAAAGTCCTGATGGCGGCCTCGATGATCTCCAGACGCTCATAATTACGACTCAGTTGTCTCCTTTTCCCCTTTTGGTGAAAATACTTCAGTGGGTACTTCACTGACCACCACAGCCCAACGATCAAGAAGAAGCTCCCCGGGAGAGCGTGGCCCTTGAAGTTTGCCATCGGGGCCCCGGGTCACCTGAAACACAGGGGCAGCTGTCAGGTGGCTGAAGAGGAAAACAAATGGGTATGTTGGCAGGAAATGCAACCATGACTGGGGAGCCCAAATCGCAAGCCGTACGGAGAAGGGTCCACTCATTCTCATAAAGTAAGCCTGTCTGTCCTGTCACCAGGTCACCAAAGTCGTGTCCGCTGAGCAGTTACATGCTGACCCTGAGGCCTGAACAACGTTGGTAAATAGAAGGGGGGAGGGGAAGCGGAGGATAGGTAAATATTAATTGATCTCAGGGTAGAAAAGCCTTCCTAAACATAAAGGAGGGAACAAGAAAAATAGTTATGGACACCGGTATTTTATAGATCAAAACACGAGGAGGCAAGCCAGTGGGGCGAAGCTACCAGGTTATGACTGACCGCCTGTCAGAGTCCTGCCCAGGCTGAAACCAAGGGCAGCGCCTCAGGTGGCCCCAATTCCCCTGTCCTGGTGGCCCTCAGCGTGCAGTGGGACCTGGTTGGTGCAGAGAGCCCCATCCAGGGGAACAGGTGCGGCAGGGAAGGGGGCCACTCCTTGCCCTGCAAGCATGGGTTTTTATAGATTTGATTGCAACAAACCGTGCAAAATGATGTTAGCTGAATAAAGGTAGGACCACCAGGAGAAAGAAACACTGAACCAACGACTCAAGGAAAGCTACTTCCACATTCACACATTTTCTTGTTAAGCATTCAAAGCGATGTTTCTGGAATTCAGTATGAGGCCAACAACGTCTGAAAACTATTTTGCTGAGAGACTGGTCCAGCGTTTGAAACAAGAAATAAGAGACTGTTTCAAAGGTGTCATGGTTCAGCTTGTGGAACATGTGTGCTCTACCCGGTTTTTCTGCAGCTGAGAGGCTGAGCGTCTGTAGACATTAGGGTCGATATTAATAAAGGAAGCAAAGGGAATCAAATATTGTTTAGCTGAATGGGCTGGGGAGCTGAATGGGACACTGAACCTGCAGTTTTACCAGGAAGCCAGCTCTCCCCCCCCCCCCCACCCACCCAGGCGATCACAGTACTGCCCCACCAAGGATTAACACCCCTTCCTTCCCCCCTCAGGTCCTGTATTGTCTGGGGGGCCAGAGAGAGGTGAGCACACGTGCAGAAGTCAAAATGGCCCACGGGGAGGTGCTTGGCCATAGAGGCTTGTCAATCTAGCCTGGGAAAGGGATCACTGGTCGGGTGGGCCCGTCAGAGTCCCGTGAAAGTTTCGGAAGTTGATCAGTTATTTTGAAAAAGCACCTGGTCCTTCCCAAGCCCAAGATAATATAATCCCAAAGATGCCTGGCCGGTGTGGCTCAGTGGTTGAGCCTTGACCTATGAACCAGGAGGTCACGGTTCAATTCCTGGTCAGGGCACATGCCCGGGTTATGGCTCGATCCCCAGTGTGGAGCATGCAGGAGGCAGCCCATCAATGATTCTCTCTCAACACTGATGTTTCTCTCTCTTCCTTTCTGAAATCAATAAAAATATTTTTTAAAAATTACATATATATACATTCATTCTCAGGGAATATGCAATCATCCAGTTGGTTTGCATGCTCTCTCCGTAGCAACCATGTGGCCTTAGCAGCATGGCTGATGGGGACAGCGGACGACTTCAAACGCCGGCTCCAGGTGGGAGCCTGGATCCAGCAGCACCGATTGCAGCCGGAACGGGAGCTAAGCTCCCGACGGTGAGAAAGGCTGGCCTGGACTAGCTTTAACGTGGCACAGACTCTCTGGACATTGGCCCTATTTCTGGCCCTGATTTTCCACGTTGGGACCGACAGAGATGGGACATTGGGGCCTTCTGTTTTCACCCAAATAACTCTTACCACCAGACCTCCCCCTCCCTTGTGGGTCTCTGCTTTTCCTCACGACTCACTGGAATTAAAGACATGCAAACGAATGCACAGTATCATTTTCACCTAATTGGAATATAGTTTGAAAAATTAGAGATTTGATGCAGCTCTAACATAAATGAATATGGCCAATATGATTCAAGTTCAGTAAAAGTCAAAATAGTTATATCACCACCACCTTATTCCACACAAGATTTCAGGCATGGTTTCTTTTATCCTTTTTACAGTAGCATAGGCTATGGGATCAACATGGTGAGTTACATAGAATTTATGCAGAAGGAAAGTGCTTTTTTTTTTTTTTTGTGCGGCCTGGCTGGTGACCTAAAGCAATGTAAGGTGGGAGAAAAATAGCAGTTGATGGAGATCTAGAACATTCCACTTAGGAAGATAGAGCACTGTGGTCTGCACAGCCTACTCCCACCCTGCCATCCCCGCGCCACTGGCTGCATCGTCAGGGCTGGTTCGCGCCTGATACATTTGCAGTTGAGGTTTCCACCCTTCATCAAGCGCTTTCACAAGCTTTTAGAAAATGCTTAACAGTTTTTAAAATGTCAAATAGTATTTAAAGTTTTACAATGAAAAGCAGCAGCCCCATGTTCCCTCCTTCTCCCCCCCACAAACCACTTTAAATTCTTCCTGCTGTTTTTTTTCTGGTAATTACCTCCATTGTTCTAGTTAATTCGTGCACACTGCCATCTGTTAATTTACTGTTGTCGGGCATTCTCTGTCAACTTCCTGGAGCCCTCTTACAGCCTCTCCCTTCACTTCATGGGAGTTACATTTACACACATTTACTGAAATCATTAGCTACATTATTATGGCTCTGTAAATCCAAAGTCCTTGCCAGGGCTCCACGTGACCTGAGCTCTCTCTTTGATCTCTCCCCCCCTCTATCGCTGCGACACAGGGTCCCCCTCTTTTGCTTCAACAAGTACAGCCCACTCCTGCTTCCGGGCTGTGCACTATCTGTTCTTTCTAGACCAATTTTCCCACAGAGAGCCGACTGTTTTCTCCTTCACTTTACTGGGGTCTCTGCTCAGATGTTCCCTATTTTATGCAAAGTAGCAGGTGTGTCCCACTTTTCAATCCATATATACTTCTAAATTTCTTTAATGAATCACTATCTGATAGTACGTACTGATTTTTTTTTTTTAAGCATCTATTTTATCCACTAGATCGCAACCTTCTGGCCCTTTACAGTTCCTCATGTTGTGACCCAACCATAAAATTATTTTCGTTGCTACTTCATCACTGTAATGTTGCTACTGTTATGAATCGTCATGTAAATATCTGATATGCAGGATGGTCTTAGGTGACCCCTGTGAAAGGGTCGTTCGACCACCGAAGGGGTCGCGACCCACAGGTTGAGAACCGCTGCACTAGAATGTAAGCTCTGTGAAAGCAGAGACTTGATCTGCTTTGTTATTGCAGGTAGCCCAGTGCTCACACGGGGTCTGACACTCCAATATTTGTGGGATGAATGCTGATCCAAATACTGTATTATGGGTTATGTGCTCAACATTTTCCTTTTGTTCTGGAGTTAATAGTTGCCTTGCTTCTCATTTGTTTAGTTTCCCATATACCTAATCACTTTGTCCACAAAAGGGCTAACAGATTTGTCAGATGTCTACCAAATTAATGTCTAGACCAGGGGTCCTCAAACTTTTTAAACAGGGGGCCAGTTCACTGTCCCTCAGACCGTTGGAGGGCCGGACTATAGTTTTAAAAAAAACTATGAACAAATTCCTATGCACACTGCACATATCTTATTTTGAAGTAAAAAAACAAAACGGGAACAAATACAATATTTGTATTTGCATGTGGCCTGCGGGCCGTAGTTTGAGGACCCCTGGTCTAGACATTCTAACATCAGATAAATTATTAGTTTTGTTTTATTCCTGGATTCCTCTCTTCCAGAGCCTTCTAGCTTCCTACTCCCAACCTCGGCTGGGTGTCTGCCAAACGGGAAGTTTAGCACCATCTTCCGAAGTCTTTTTTGCCTTTTTCTTGCTTTGGGTCCATTGTTTTTTGGATGCCATTTATTTTTTCTTTCTTGGTTTACTTCCATTAATAGGCATCTAGTTATTTCCCCCAAATATGCACAAAAGGTAGCTTCTTTGAGAATTTGCAGGGCTAACCATCTCCACCTGCTTTAATCAAAAACGGTTTATTTAGTCTGATGATATTTAATATAGTTATCCATGTGATTATGTTTTATATCTCATTTTGCTATTTGTTTTCTACATTTCTCATGTATTTTTTAAAGACTTACTTTAAGAGCAGATTTAGGTTTACAGCAAAATTGAGAGGAAGGTACAGAGATGTTTCACATATGCCCTGCGCCCATATATGCACAGTCTCTCCATTATCGACATCGCTACCAGAATGGCACTATTTCTTTTTTTTTTCCCCACCAAGGATGAGCCCACATCCACACATCATAATCACCCAAAGTCCACAGTTTACTTTGGGATTTACTCTTGATGCTGCACGTTGTATGGGTTTGGACAAATGTATAATAATGTGTCCATCATTATATCATACAGAGTATTTTACTGCCCTGAAAATCCTCTGTGCTCTTCCATCCATCCCTCTCCTACCCACTCCCCTGGCAACCACTGATCTTTTGATTGTCTCCATAGTTTCGCCTTTTCCAGAATGTCAGATACAGTGGAACCTCGGTTCTTGAACTTGATTCGTTATGGAAGGCTGTTTAACAAGCAATTTGTTTGAAAACCGAATAATTTTTGTCCCCATTAGAAATAATGTAAATTGAATTAACCTGTTCCAGACCCCCAGATTATTCCGGTTTTAACCTTTCTTATATACAGTACTGTTTAGTCTATAAACAAACACTTCCTTTATTGTAAATAAATTTTTATTGATTTCAGAGAGGAAGAGAGAGGGAGAGAAATAGAAACATCAATAATGAGAGAGAATCACTGATCGGATGCCTCCTGCACACCCCACACTGGGGATTGAACCCACAACCGGGGCATGTGCCTTGACCAGGAATTGAAACCTGACCTCCTGGTTCCCAGGTCAGTGCTCAACCACTGAGCTTGACAAACAAACACTTCTTAAATGTATGGAACCACCCTCTTCTAGCCTTAGATGCATCACTTTCAGCACTGGATGGGTGCCTATAAAGAAGGAATGTAGCCCTAACCG